AAAAAAAAATGTACTTCCGTTATCCCTCCTGCGGTCATATCGCCACATTACACATGTCTCCTGTCTGCCGGTGGTTTTGAGTGCTTTGAGAACATTGTGTAAAAAACTCCATTGTGAAATTATTAGCAATTACTAAGTCCAAGTAGTTTGCACTTCTCAGAGCAATAAACCGCTAATTTTCCTGGCGGTCCTGTAGCTGTGGGGTTTTCGGGGGTCTCTGAAGCATGGCAGATATTAACATGCAAGGCGTTTGTCACTGTAATTACAGACTCATTAGTTTTTTCGTTCTCTTTCTTGTGTCCTCTATCTTTCTGAAGATTCTATCTCCCTCAATTATTCCCATCTGGGTTCATTTTCAACACTCACGCTTCATTACCGGGAAACAGAGTGCTCGCTGTACTCTCCTCCCTCCTCTTCTCTTCGCTCCTCCCTCGCTCTTTCACATCTTCTACTGCCAGCCCGCCACCATCGCTCACACTTACACTGACGACTGGCACATACACACCGCCTGCCGTGCTGCTCTGCCCTGGCACCTGTCACAGGCTAGGCGGCACTTGGCAACCCTGAAAATGTGTTTGAAGGGTCTTTCTGGCATGTGGTTGTATATTTACTACACGCTTATTCCTGCAGTGCTAACTTAAGTGCTTAATTGAAGTACTTACACTGCCATTCAGAAGTCTGCGTGGTAACGATTTCTGTAATATTTTTTTTTTTAGTATCTTATGCTCACCAATACTATTTAGCAGTCTATGTATTTGAATGTGTTGTAAAATGTGATTTATTCAAAGCATCTTTACCCCTGTCTTCAGTGTCACATAATCCTTCAGAAATCATTCTTAAATGATGATTTGCTGCTCAAGAAACATTTCTTATTAGAATCAATGTTGAAAACTGTTGTGCTGCTCAACCCTTTGAAACTGTGAAAAAAAATTTTTTGAGGATTTTTTGATTAATAGAGTTAAGAAAAAAGTTATTTGAGAAAGATATATCGGGAAAGTGAGCAAATAAAACAAGCAATTAGCCTACACATTTTTTATTTATTAGTTTGCTTCATACATTAATCAAAACTACCCTAATGAAAAATCCAGAATGGGAAGCTTGACGATGCTTTTTCCCCAGCTCTATACCAGCTCTAATCAGCATAAACCAGCCTGGAGCAACTTGGAATTCATGCTGGATTTTTCTGCAAGGTAGTCAGGCTTTATTTTTATGGAGCTTTATACAGTTCAGATTATTTCAAAGCAGCTTCACAATAATAAACAGGAAAGTAACATATTTTTCAATTTTTTCAATTCGATTCAGATCAATGTTGATTCAGTTCCGTTCAAAAGCGGTGTCGATGTTTCAAACTTCATTTTTAAAAAAAAAAAAATATATATTATTCAGATGAAGACAGGTGTGTGCTCAATTCAGCTTAAGTTTTGTCCTCATCCGATAGAGTCAGTGCAGTTAAATCAGTAATATATAATATATGATAGTGTGTCAATACAAAATTAAAATCATACTAATTTTTTTCAAAATATTAGAAATATTCCCATCATTATAACTTATGATGCTGTGGCACAAACTCAGATTCTATTAATTCTCTGAAGTGGAGCAGTTGTTTCCTGGAATCCAAAGTTGCGAATTTAACTTGCGTGCAAAATTGGAATATCGCAAAAAACACACTTGAATGAAGCAGCGTTTCCATCCAGTGAGCCGAAGAGAACAAAGTCATCACTTCCTGATTAACTGATGCTAAATATCAATAAGAAAATGGAATTTGCTGCAGTAGGAGAAGCCACTGTATAAATGATTTTCATAATTTCAGTTCTGGAAGGCACACTGAACCACTTTTACAACAGACTTTGCTCATATCAGACTGACCAAAACAGCATTTCAGAAGAGATCTGTCCGCTGGTTTCTCCAGTAATACCGTCCCATCGCAAAGTGCGGATTGGGGAATTGATTTGGTAAAATTGATTTGGATTTGTTTTTCCATCGTAGTTTATGCTCGTTTTCTTACAGACTGAAAGCAAAACTGGTGTGATGCCACACTATCACATGCAAAGTTGTAATGGATTTATTTTTCTTAAACTTATCCATCATATCAATAGATCATCTATCTATTTTCTCCAGGTCTGCCTTTTCTCACCTGACAGTGTTTTGAATGCTGTTAGTGGTCAGCTCTGTTCTACAGTATAGAAACTTTTCTCTGTGTACAAACAGGAGCTCTTGCTTTTGACACTCATCTAGGCCATCTTTTGGCTGTTACTCTATGATCGGTTTTGATATGAAAGGGGAAAACAAAAGAAGGAGCTGTCCTAATTGATTCCTGGTTAGACCTTAATGAGCTTCTGAAATCTGCACACGAGGGTCCTGTTGCCATGGCAACATTAGCCACACCGTAAGGCAGAAGGGCAAAGCATAAGAAGGTCTGGATTATGTCCCTTGAGAAAAAAAATAAAGAGAGAAAAGTATGAAGGTAATATGATGCCATAAAGAATCGCATGCGCAGGGTAAGATTTGTGAAAGTGTACGTAAGATTGCAAGTGTAAATAACATTTAGAAGATTTGTAAAGGTGCAAAATCGCCTTTCAAGTGTAAGAATAAAAAAAAAATTCTATTTTATTGTTATTCGTAAGTGTACGTTTGACACGTTTTTTTTTTTTTTTTTTTTTTCAATGAAGGTGGGCCCGCCCTTCTTTTCGCTCTTGCAAAAAGGCAAGGCAAGTTTATTTATATAGCACATTTCATACACAATGGTAATTCAAAAGTGCTTTACATAGAAGAAATTAAAATAATCAAAAGAAATCAGAATAATTAAAACACTTTTTACCAAAAAATAAATAAATAAAATACAGTAAATAATTAAAATAGTAAGTGCAGGTTAAAAAAGCAGCAACTAAACAAATCTTTTTTGCCTCATGTACACAAGAAGTCATTTAGACATTTGCAACAGTTTATTTTTTTTACACAAAGGTAGATTTATATAATCAATCTGTTTTGCAGTTGTTGTTTTCGGTTGCTAATTACCGTTGACAGGCCTGCATTGCTTTTGGGAAAAAAACGTGCCAAAAGTGTAAGCGCAGAAAAAGTCAGAAGAATACAAATCGTATTTATTTTGCGTATAAGCATGAAGCTGCAGTTTCACAATACATGCATTGCACTTAAGTATTACAGTAAAATGCTGCAATGTTTTTTCTTCCACCTGAAAGGCGATTTACACCTTTACAAATCTTCTCTTGCACATGCAAATTTTATTCACACTTGCAATCTTACACTTTCACAAATCTTACCCTGTGCATTCGATTCTTTATAGCATCATATAACCTTAATAAAAAAGTGACCAACAAAGCATTTTTATTGCTTGGCTTGTTTAGACAGCATCTTTAGATTTACATAAACAAAATAAACCTTGATGGATGAAAATACAGTTAGTTTAATATGGTGTCTTCATCGATCATCGATTATCAGAAAACCAAACACTGTAAAAAAATGCATCTGTCCCTCAGCCTCATTTTCACATGTCAAATTAAACTTGTCTTCTTTTTAAAGGTATTTGATAGATATACATGTAGGTTAAAATGGACTTGTTTTATCGTTCTCATGCTTTTTCACTTTCTCTGCCTTATTCATTTCACAATATATTTAATGCTAAATCCCATCGCAGAGTTAATTTGAATGACAGTAGGTTATCTTCCCCCTCTTGAAATCCTCAGTCACACCCATCTCTCTTTTCTTTCTCCTTTCCTCCCTAAGCACCTCCTTTTTTCCCATCTTCATCCCTATTCTTTCTTTTATTCTTGCCCTGCATAATCCAGCCTCGGTTTCACTCACATCTTCCCCAAATGATGCACTGCTCAGTATCACGTTTGCCTCTCTGCATTCATGTGTAAATGATTCAGTGTCCTGGTGTCTGGTTGTTTGAGGCTAAACTGAAGTCAAGAGGCCAGAGCATCTCTTCCAGCTTGTTAACCCCCATATTCAATTTCATACTTCACTGCATGGAGACACACAGCGAGCTGGAACAGTCCATTACAGAGGTCATGTGACTAGAGTATATCCTCTCTGCTGTGCCTTTCAAAATTTTAGCTTAAAATAAAGATTTAAAACAGAGATTTAAAAATAGAGAATTAAAACACCTGTTCAATTTTTCATTAATGCAATTATCTAATCAACCAATCACATGGCAGTTGCTTCAATGCATTTTGGGGTGTCGTCTTGGTCAAGACAATCTCCTGAGCTCCAAACTGAATGTCAGAATGGGAAAGAAAGGCGATTTAAACAATTTTGAGTGTAGGGTGGTTGTTGATGCCAGGCGGGCTGGTCTCACGATCTGCTCAGTTACTGGGATATTTTTACGCACAATCATTTCTAGGGTTTACAAAGAATGGTGTGAAAAGGCAAAAACATCCAGTATGCGGCAGTATGAGGCATTACAGTACTTAGTGCCAATTGGGCATCGTTTAAATGCCACGGCCTACCTAAGCTTTGTTTCTGACCATGTCCATCCCTTTATGGCCACCATGTACCGATCCTCTGATGGCTACTTCCTGTAGGATAATGCACCATGTCACAAAGCTCGAATCTCAAATTGGTTTCTTGAACATGACAAAGAGTTCACTGTACTAAAATGGCCCCCACAGTCACCAGATCTCAACTCAATAGAGCATCTTTGGGATGTGATGGAATGGGAGCTTCGTGTCCTGGATGTGCATCCTGCAAATCTCCATCAACTGCAGGATGCTTTCATATCAATATGGGCCAACATTTCTAAACAATGCTTTCAGCACCTTGTTGAATCAATGCCACGTAGAATTAAGGCAGTTCTGAAGGCGAAAAGGGGTCAAACACAGTATTAGTGTGGTGTTCCTAAAGTGCAGACAAAAAAAGACAATGGCATGTTTGTGTTGTTTAAGACTGTCTTCATTTTTTGACTTCACATAAATCATATCAAGGCCCCAGAAACATGGCAGGCAACCTACAAATGTCCATGTGGTTACTAGTTTTATTCAAGTCAGTATTGTTTAATCTTACTGAACAACCCTGAGAACATTAGGTTACACTGATGAAAGTCATTTTTAATGGTCAGATCATGAAATTGCTTGATAAAGTAACATTTGCACTTTTACTTTCCGTAGTGTGTATGGTCAACATGTCTTAGTTTGTTGTACGAGATTAACTGCTATCGTCCATTTGGGTGAAGCATTTTATACATCGTAATTTGTACAACTAGGCAGCAGTAAACCTGACATGAGCCTCTGTTTTTTTTCCAGGACAGTGACATCCAGAAGAAGATCGACTATGAGATCCGTATGCGTGAGGGTGCGTGTAAGCTGCTGGCTGCATGTTCTCAGAGGGACCAAGCGCTGGAGGCCTCCAAGAGCCTGCTCACCTGCAACGCCCGCATCATGGCCTACATGTCAGAGCTGCAGCGCATGAAAGAGGCGCAGGTCATGCAGCGGATCGCACGCAGGTCAGAGCTCACTTATGATGAATGTGCTTTTAAAGTTGTGAAGTTAGTTTATACAGTTGATAAAGGTATAGAGAGAATTGAACTATTAAGCTCACATGTAGTCATTTTATAGCTTCATTTATTGATTCTAAAGCGTATGTATATTATCTTAATATACTTATTCATTTAAAAATAATCAAAATAATTTTTAAAAATTTAAGTTTTAAGTTAAAATTTAAACATTTTCTTTAAAAATAATTTGCTATGTAGTGACTTTAATTTGGAGTAGAAACAGGTGGAGTGACTTTATCGCGTCAGACGTGTCACTCTGCTCACAGCTGATTGGTCCAAGTTAGGTTTGCAACCTCTTACATGGAACATAACCTGCCCCGGACCAGGTTAGCCATGGAGCGTAAGTTACTATGGCGATGGACACTGCTAAAAGCTAAACCACTTTCATGGTGCCTAAAACTAAACTGAAACATACTAGCCACCTAAACCGGCTTCATGGTATAGGCCCCGGTGTTTCCCTGGAGGTTTTAGATTAAGCATGTTCCATGTCAACCTTTATCGCTCATTGTGACTAACTATGCCACTTCCACATACGTAGTAGCTGGAGCAATTTTTAATTTTGAACAAAAAAAATGTCACATCGTGCACCATTAATAAAGTTTGGTTAAACTAAATTACATGTACAATGTTTGGTTGGATTTTTGTGGTGGTTTATAAAAGGTAAATCAGATAATAGGCCAGTTTTTTTTAGGTTAAGCATTTTAAATTATACTGTCAGAACCAGTAAATAATATGAAGTTTTATCAAAATATGCATAGCTGATAACTACATTTTGACCATAAGTACTTCAACAAATCTCATGCTTTTATGCTGTCTTACTAAAAATAGCTGAATGTATTGACTCAAAGTAGAAATAATCAGGCCGCCACAAAGCACATGACTGCAGAAAATACTGTTGAGGTCAGAAAGAGTTTAATGTGGTGAGTGTTGTCCATTTTACAGGGGCAATCTCAGCCTTTTTATCAGGACCGTCACTGTAAAGCTAGTATCAAAGTGTTAAATGTCAATTTAAGACAATTACTCACAATGTTGTCTTTTTAGTCACATGGTTGGCTCCGGACACACCACATACACACAAAAATTAAGCTATGTTTAGAAAATGTTTTAAAGCTGAAGTGTGTAATGTTTTCAAAAAAAAGTTTTTTTGTTTTTCCGAATCCCAGTTTATGTAACTGTAATTAGATAGTTTATAGGTTAAAGAACTTGTTGCACTGGCCAATATGCCTGTTGTCTTGAACTTATCTATGGATGTCAGTACATTGCTTTATTTATTTGAGCATATCAACCACAAGACACCACACATTGGCTTATTTAATAGTACCAATGGCAGACAGGGGAAGTGCTCAGGAAATGGTCAGTATTTTTAAAAACTCCATTTGGTGACACACACTTCAGCTTTAATTAAAACTGTTTTGAAGCACTTTACACAATGTGGTTTGTTTCTTATTGAGTGTTTGTGTTCAGGTCTTCCGATGCAGGTCCAATGGATGACCGATCCCCATGTAAAGGCAAAGTAGCCATTTCAGGTATGTTCCCAGATAAGGATTCAGGCAGCCTTGACTGTTTTAAAGGGATACTCCACCCAAAAATGAAAATTCTCTCATCATTTACTCGTCCTCAAGTTGTTGCAAACCCGTATGAATTTCTTTCTTCTGCTGAACACAAAGGAAGATATTTTGAAGAACGATTGGAACTAAACAGTTGTTTGGCACCATTGACTTCCATAGTAGAAAAAAAAAAACATATACTAATTTAAAAATGCTATAAAAATACTATATAAAAATAAAAAAAAATACTATAGAAATCAATAGTGCCAAAATTCCAATCGTTCTTCAAAATGTCTTGCTTTGTGTTCAGCAGAAGAAAGAAACTCAGACAGGTTTGCAACAACTTGAGGGTGAGTAAATGATGACAGAATTTTCATTTTTGGGTGTATCCCTTTAAGTCACATAATGAAAAAATATACACTACCGTTTAAAAGTTTGGGGTAGTGTAAGATTTTATGCAGCAAGTACACTTCAAAATTGCCTCAGTTAAGATATTTATAATTTTACAAAAGATTTGTATTTCAAATAAATATTTTTTGTTTGTTTGTTTGTTTTTACTTTTTATTCATGAATCCTGAAAAACAAATGTTACAATTTCCACAAAAATATCCAAATATCACAGGTTCCACACAACTGTTTTTTTTTTTTTTTTTTTAACATTGCTAATAATAATAAATGTTTCTTGAGCAGAAAATCATCATATTAAAATGATATCTGAAGGATCATGTGACACTGGTTGAGGAGAGATTCCCCTGACATGATTGTAAAGCGCTTTATAAATGCCTCCATTCATTCACTCACTCACTCACTCACTCACTCACTGAAGACTGGAGGAATGATGCTTACATTTTGCTTTGCATCACAGGCATAATTGTAATAATCTTTCACAATAGGAATGTTTTAGTGTATTTTTAGTGCTTTGGTGAGCATAAGAGACTTACCAACCCCAAACTGAATGGTAGTGTATATAATATTCTCAGTTTTTTTGCATTGTGTGTAAATCAAGCAAACCAGTCTGTTTATATGGGTGTCTGAGCATTAAATCACACCCCTGCTGTTTTATATATCAGTGCCTGTGTCTCAGTCTGCTGTGGGTCTTCTTTTACGAGTCGTCCTCCCCTCCTCACTGTCTGGTTCTTTTAGACGCACCAACCCCCCTCTTAACACCCAGTGCTATTAACTCCCAGTTCAAACTCCTTGACTGCACCCATGGCAATGTGCGTTTGAGATCTACAGTGAGAGGCCTGTAGGGGTGATACTCAGTAAATGCTGTAATTATTACGTCATTATGTGGAGGGTTATACTTCACAGTCACATGCACACTAATGTAAGCCACTTTCATATAGTCACTGACAGAATAATAATAAAAATGATGTGCAATGGTTTTATTGGTAGCTAAATGCATTATTAGATTCACTATTCAGCATTCCTGTTCACTTTCTGCAGCTGCAGAATCTGTGTGGGATTCCTATTCATGTGCCATTATTCCATCACACGAATGCATCCAGACTGTTATTTCGTTCATCCCACGCACATACAATCTAATATTCGTACATGCAGCCTCTCTTTTGTTTTCTGCTGTCCATCATCTGCAGTCAGTACCCTATTAATCGTTCCCTTCCTATTAATTTAACAAAGTTCTGCTGTAATTAACAAGCTTGATTACACAGATCTTGATAATAGTGAGGCACATCTAGGTGGGCTTGAGCGATGAATGTGGTCTTGATGCGTTGGGTGGGCCAGTATGATAAAGGCAGCATGGCATAAAATACCAACTGTGTGTTTCGAATGTATTTTGCTGTTGATTGACATGGAGTTGACAGTCAGCAATGGTTGCTTGCAGCTGTGAGTGACACTGTGTGTGTGTGTGTGTTATAACCTTGTGTGTTTCTCTCTGACCTCTGACTCCTCTGTGTTGCAGATCTCCGGATACCTCTTATGTGGAAAGACACAGAGTATTTTAAGAATAAAGGAGGTAACATCTGTTTTTCCTCTTCTCTTTGATATGCTGGTTAAATAACACTGCATGATGTTTAATATCACACACACGAACAATAGGGAATACTGCTGTGGTGCATTGTGCATTCAGTATATGCGTTACCACGATAACGAAAAACACATTTATTTATGAAGCGTTCAGGCCCAGCAAAGCCCTCTGGGTAAACAGAATATTATTACTGGCATTGGAAACATTTTCCAGACAACAGTGACTAATGTAGTTTTGCCTAAGGTGTTTTAGAGCAGCTGACAGAGGTGACATTATGTTGATAATGTGACACAGGAACCCACATGCATGGGGTGTTCTCTCTTGGGAAAGCTTTTATATGTGCTTTATCCTGTTAATAGGAACATATATTTTAAAAGCCATCAAAATGATTAAGGCAAGAACGTTTAGGAATGGTTGTGCCACAGTTACGCTTGTTCTATAATTTGTACAGGGGGGAAAACAATGACAGATACTAATTCTTACCTAAGCAGGAAAAAGCAGGAGAGCACACACAGGTGCAGGAATAAGTGTTTCCTGAATGAACAGAGTTGCTTTGGGAGATTTTACAGGCACTGGGCCAAACCTGCAGTGGGGATGTTCATTACAACAGGTTGGAGTGCTAAGTAGAAATCATGTACGGCAAATGTCTTTGTTTGTTTCTTCAGAGCTGCATCGGTGTGCTGTGTTCTGCCTGCTGCAGTTGGGTGGTGAGATCTTTGACACAGACATGGTGATGGTGGACCGGACGCTGACAGACATTTGCTTTGACAACACTATTGTCTTGTGAGTGTGCATGTTTTGTTGCTTTAACTGTTTAACTGGACATTTATTTAACCCATAAGATGTTTAATCTTTGTGCAACCTAATGTTCATAGTCACTATAAACTGTACACGTGGATAAATAAAACGTTTGGTTGCACTTTATATTAGGTGTCGTTAAGTACTATGCACTTACATAAAAACGTATAGTACTTATTGTGTTCTTGTTGTATTGCAAAACACATTTACTACTATGAGGTGGGATATGGGTAAGGTTAGGGACAGGTTCAATGGTATGGGTAGGTTTAAATGTGGGTTAAAGGGTTAGTTCACCCAAAAATATCTGTGATCATTTACGCACACTTACATCGTTCCAAATCCGTAGGACTTTCGTTCATCTTTGGGAACACAAATTAAAGATGTCTGTCTCATATGGCCTTGATATTTGTACAGTCTGTCACTATAAAAACCACAACATGTAAATAGGAAAATGTTCACATTATTTTGTCACTCATTTGGATTAGTATGCCAGCTGCAACCATTTACATCCAGTCTTTGTGCTAAGATAGGCTAGTGGTGGGTGCGTCAAACAGACTTATAGCACGCACGGAGATGAAAAAGGTATGTGTAGACTTATCTAACTCTGGGGGATAAGGTGAATAGGCTAAAGTCCCAAAAAGTCAGAGTGTTCCTTTTATAGTCTACGCAATTACCACTTTGTCGGTTTCATAAGGAGATAAAACTGTAAAACTAATCCATATGATTTGAGTAGTTTAGTTCAAATTTACTGAGGAGACACGATCACTTTATGATGAACAGGTTAATTATTCACATTAAAGGGCACCTATTATGGCCCTTTTTACAAGATGTAATATTGGTCTCGGGTGTCCCCAGAATGATCCACACTTGAGGATTAACTTTTAAGCCACAACAACAGGATTAACCCACGAGTCCACAACAGAACCAAAAGACATTACCGGCTGTCCTTGAAACAATGGAGGATGGTGTGTACAGATCACAGAGGGCGGGTTCTAGGCCACAACCACACTGTCAATCAAACCCCTTGCTCAATTCTACGTCACAAAGAGCTGAATCTTAGAACAGCTGGTTCTGAGACAGTGCATATGATTTATTGAGATTGGAAAAAAAAAACACTGGGTGGATTTTTATCATTCTAGGGTGGTTTTGCTCACAAACTGCCAACACACATTTATGTTCAAACACCATGTAAAAGTGAATTTTCCATAATAGGTGCCCTTTAACATTCATCAACTCACACATCATTTGTGGTAAGAGGAAGCTCAAGCATGTTTGCTTGACGTGCGAGAACCAATGAGGTTCAGTCTAGTGTTACACAGCACGTTTGAGCTTCAGCAAGAGGTTTGTTCTCACAGGTCTTTTATGTTCTCTGATCAATATTTACGTGTTAATAAAAGGCTAAATTCTCAGGCTCTCTTCTAAACTCTCAGGTTTCGTTTAAAATATCTTCATTTGTTTTTCAAAGATGAAAAAGTCTAATGGGTTTTTTTGAAATGACATAAGAGTGAGCAATTTATGACAATTTCTTCATTTTTGGGTAAACTTTAAGGTGAAAGGGAAGTCATAACCATGTGATTAAAGATATAATTACAGAAATTAATTATAGTTATAATTACATGCAGTTATTTTAAAATATAAGTACAATGTAAATCATGTATGAACACAATAAGTGCACTTTATCAAATGATTCAAATGTATATTTAATTATATTTAAATGTTAGTACGTAGTAATTAAAGTAAAGACCAAGCATTTTTTACATGAAAAAAAAATATTCATTAGAGGCTCATTTGGAGCATCTGTTGGTTAATGTTTGCTCAGATACAGTAAAGGCCTCTTTAGTAAAAAGCACAGATTTAAACTGCTCAGATTGTGTTAAATTTTACTAGATAATTTCATTCAGAAGTTAAGCACATGCTACTGTTCAAAGGTTTGGGGTCAGTAAGAAGTCTGTTACTGCTCATTGCTCACAAAGGCTGCATTTATTTGTTCCAAAATACTGTAAAATTGTAAAATATTATTCGTATTTTTTTTTATTTTTTTTTATTTATTGCTCTTATGGCAAAGCTAATTTTTCAACATCATTACTCCAGTCTTCAGCGTCCTTCAGAAATCATTCTCATATGCTGGTTTGAAAAATGTATCAAAAACATTTCTTATTATTATCAATGTAGAAAACAGTGCTGCTTAAGATATTTTGGGATATACTGTAGTATTCCTCTAGGCTTTTTTGATGAATAGAAGGTTAAAAAGAACAGTATTTAATTGAAATGTATTGTAACATTATAAATGGCTTTGCTGTCACTTTTAATCAATTTAATGGGCTCTTGCTAAATAATTTTTTTAAACTCCTACTGACCCCAAACATGTTTAACAGTAGTGTATACTATGTAAATTTGCACCCTATTGATATCAAATAAGTGTAATAATATGATGTACATGCTGTTTCCTGTGCAGTAATGAGGCCGGGCCTGGGTTCGAGCTGCGTGTGGAGATGTATAGCTGTTGTTCAGAGGACGACTACTCAGCAGGCAGCACACCGAGGAAGCTGGCCAGCAAGCTGAGCTCGTCTCTAGGCAGGTCAACGGGAAAGAAAATGAAGGCAGGCTTGGAGCCTGGAGCCTGCAGTCCCACCAGTAATGGAGGAGGAGCGACACTCCTGCTGCCTGTTCCCTCTGTACCGTAAGTGTACAGTGATAGACTTAACGATAAGACAGTACTGTTCAATATTTTGGGGTCGGGTAGATTTTTTTAAATGATTTTGTTCCTTATGCGCTTATGCAAAAATACTGTAAAAACAGTAATACTGTGAAATATTATTTAAAAATAAAATAACATTGCTATTTTAATATCTTTTAAAATGTAATTTAGTAAATGTATTTATTCTCAATTTATTTGATTACTTCATCAGCATATCAAATTAATTCAATTACATTTCTTTCTAGTCCTATAGTAGATATACTATATACTATACTAGGTAGTCCTAGTTAAAATATGTTTGCATATTCCCTGTTTTATGTGTTAACAGGGGGCCCAAATATCATCTTTTGGCTCACACAACCCTCAATCTCTCTCACGTCCAGGACAGCTTCCGCACACATGACCTCACCATCACAGGAAACGGTGAGCATCAAAATTCTGTATATATCAGGCATATATATCTTTCTTTTTTACTTTAGATATTAGAATATGTAATTTAATGTCCGAAATTGGTATTTTACTTGGCTCTATAAGAGTGACAAAATAAGATGCTTTGTCTGAAAAAGAGATTTTAATGTCTAAGCTCGGTCATAAAGTGCTTCTGGGATTTTATTTACAGAACATTTGTTTATGACACAATAATTTTCTTCGCATTGCAGGTAATTGATTACAGACAGCCCTGCAAAGCACATTTGTATGTGTTGTGTGTTGTCAACGTCTGTCAGATTTATTGTGTTAGGGTCACACTCATAAACTTCTCTAGATGGCCAGTCGTGGTGTGTGAAGGGCCAATAAGAGTCGCTTATAGCCGTCTTTATGTCTGAGGAGTTACTGCAGACAGTCTCACAGCCTGAGTGTGGGCTGCTCGCTCTCAAGGATGACAGTTTAGTTTGCTGTAAAATATGTACTAAAACTATAGAGTGCAAAACATGTCATTTGAATTGCTTGTTTACTGGGTTTTAAAATACAGTTTCTAACTTTGTAAGATCACACATTCTTTTATCATTCTCTCAGTAGGAGTGTCATTACTGTCTGATTTTGTCTCTCTGTAGAGGAGTGTTCGTACTGGCTGCCTCTGTATGGAAGCGTGTGTTGTCGTCTGGCCGCTCAACCTCACTGTATGACACAGCAGATGATGAGTGGCTGTCTAAGGGTAAAGGTGTGTAGGAAACACACACACACTCAGAATATCATTTTTCCCCACTTCACAGTTGTCTTTGGCTAATGTTCTCCTTACTTTCTCTTTAAGCTTGGTGGTGAGCCACAAGGCTGGACAAATGTTTATGGTGTTTTAAAAGGAACAAATCTCTTCTGTTATCATCAAAAAGAGGACATGGAGGCCAGTGTGGAGCCCGTCTTAACTATTGGTATTAACAAAGTAAGCCACTTTCAGTCACTCTGGAAATTAAGCATGTGTTATGTATGCACTGTTCTGCTTTTGGAAATAGCATGAGATAATTCTCCATTCTGTTTCTTTCAAATGGATTGTCTGTTTTTTAGAAAGATGTTTCTGTTCCAAAATGTTTCATTGTCAGTAGTCATGAAAAAAACCTTTTTGTTTGGCGTGCACTGGGAGTGTATCTTTCAGTGTCCCTAGAGAGCTGCATGTCATGAGCACAAAGAGCTTGTTTTAACATCCGAGAGCTGCTCTGTGTGGCTGCACATTCCTCTGGTCTCAGGTGACTGCTGGGCTCCACAGGCGCTTTACTTGTGCACTGCTGCCACCTACTGAAATTACTACTAAATACTGCAAAATATGAGCCTTTTTTTACAGTTCAGGTATTACTGCGTATCTTCTGACTTAGTTCGTAATGTTTTAAAAGAAAATTGTATAACTGATATCTTAAATCCTTTAGATGTCTTTAAATATTGTATATCCTTTAAAGGAACGTAATGTAAGCTGTAATACCAGTCATTATTGCAAAATAAAATACATCAGACTGTACGCTATTCTGCTTATTGCATGGATACGTACCAAACAAATAAATTGCATTAAATTTGAGTTTAAATTAGTTTATATTGTCAGAATAAATCGACCACATTCAAAAGTGATTAAAAAAACGATATGAAGTTGATATTATTATAGTCAAATATACTGTACATAAACAAATACTGTATGTGAGTGGTCAACCATTACCTATATTTTTGTTTCAAATTAGCATACTTTTTAATTCTTGCTCAATTTGCTCTCTCTCTCTTTATATGTATAAAATTCTAGTTTATAATGTGTTGTTTTCATGTGTTTATTTCAGGAGACAAGAATAAAAGCAGCAGAGAAGGACCCTCACAGTAAGGCACAGAATATCCGTATCACTAACCAGTATGGAGGAGAGGAGGTGACACACACACTAGCAGCGGACTGCAGAGAGGACACACAGCACTGGATGGAAGCATTCTGGCAACAGTTCTATGATATGAGTGAGTAAATGAACTGTCAACTTGCTAAAATAAACCATATCTTGCACTAAGAAGCCACAAGAAATTACCATTACGGTGCAAAAGTTCATTAAGAGTAAGCGAATTCTGAAAGAAACGCTGTTGAGAGTTGGTGAGTGAGAGAGAGAGAGTGAGCAAGAGAAAGAGAGATGGCTGAGAGACATTACAAAAGAGATAATATCTGAAGAAATTCACTGAAAAAAGGGTTATGATCAGGCAAGAGCTTTAAAACCTGCAATAATATTAGAAAAGCTTTCCAGAGCTGGAGAGAACTATGTGGGAGGGCCTGAAAACAGGCTTGCGTTGTTTCTGCTCCATACGTTGGTTTTGCTATGTTTCCCAGAACCAAGATATGCTGTTGTAATGTTAGTTTTGAGTCATTCTCTGGAGCTGGTGTCCTGCTGGCGACTAACAACTACCAAAGCATTATTTTGCTTCCCTTAAGCTATGATAATTCGCTTTTGCATTGCGTATCTGTGCATTTTAGGGATGGAGCAATGAAGAGAGGGTGTGTTTGTTTGGGCTGATTTCAGATATCCAGTGTTTCTCAGAAATTGCTTACTGCACCTTTAACTGTGGTAAAATCATGTTTATAACAGCGTTTAAGTGGCTTTTTGCTACGACGAAACTGCGAGGGCAGCAATATGCTAAATATAATAATACAATATATTATTATTTGTAATAATAGTAAAACACATATGAATAATAATTTGATAATTGCGATAATTAATTCTTCTGCAAAGTAATATGGTTTATTAGCCGTGCTTGCCAAAAAACGTTTGACAGCCACTTGCTCCCTCTACAGGCCAGTGGAGGCAGTGCTGTGACGATCTAATGAAGATCGAGCTGCCTTCACCACGCAAGCCTGCCATAGTGACGCCGAAGCAGGGCTCCCTGTACCATGAGATGGGTGAGTGTGTTCAGACACATTTACATAGGAATTTTAAGCCTTACTTTGTCACAAAATAAAGACCACCAGCACTTCAGAGCCATAACACTAGTCAGATGATGACAGAAATAATGCACAAGCAGGATTTCTTGTCATGAATAACACAGACATGTGTCTAACGACGATGTGTGGATTGAACTGCATGTCCTAGTCCTCTGTCAGATCTTTCTCGTAATCAGTTTATCTCCTTTTAACTGCTAAATGAGAAATCTGCTGTTTCTGACAAACTGACAGTCTTTTCTCTCTCTCTTTCTCTGTGGTTTTTATGTCTATCTCTTCGCTGATGTTTTTTCCTCTTTCCTTTTGTTCCTCACTATTGATTTTTCATACACTCATGTATGAAACCACATACATGAGTGGTTTCATGCTTTTAATTTGTAATCCAAACATCCATCCCATACATTTACCCAACCACTGTACCATTATTTGGTTACTATATAAACCCTCATTGCCCGTGCCCTCCCCACAACCCTGGTGCATTTTGCTGCCCTCCCCCTCCTCAGTGACCCCTACATCCGGTGAGGGGCTTTTGCTGCAGGATAACGCTGTCTCTGCTGAGATTCGAGCTCTGCTCTCCTCCTATTACAATGACAGGTGAAGTAGCTGTGATGAGAAGTTACCTGACCTCACCTTCTACCCACATAAAATGCCACTGTCCCGCGTCATCCCAACATTTTTTTGTCACCCCGTGGACAACTATACTCAACTTGCAAAAAACAAGATTTTAATTACAGATCCTAATCTTTTAAACATTCAATGAATAATACATAAATTACTTTCACTATTTTATTTTAGTTTTACCTATTTTATTTCAATAATATATTTTATTCTAAAAAGTAAAAAAATATTATAATAGTAAATAGAGCCTAAAAATATAAAATGTTAAAATAAAATGAGTAAAACAAGATAATGTTAGTGTAGATTGGTGTTTTATTTTTAAGAAAATTACTTATATATTTTTTTTTATTTCAATAATTTGTTTTATTCTAGAAAGTGAAAAACATAATATCAAAATTTTACTTTAATTTAAGTTTTTACTTTTTACCAGTTTATTTTAATGTTTGTTTTTTTATTGTATTTTCACTCTTTGTGCACAAAATGATTTTATTTTATATTGCATTGCTTTAATTATTTGTACTAATTTTGTTTTACAATTTTTTTATTTTATTTTTATGATGATATTATTTAATTTTAAGCTCAGATTACATCAGATTCCAACATGCACTGTAATTGTGAACGATTCCAGTTTGACAATATTTTGGTGTGAGAACGAAGAAGCTCAGTGGTCAAAAGTTATAAAAACCGTCCACTTATTTAGACGTTGAGGACGATCTTGAACGACTATGTAAATTAAGCATGTGACTGTGAACAGAGTGATATTGTCGTTCCAGGACTTTTTCTTTTATTTATTTAGAAACAGGATTTCATTGCGACTCCTGTTTCTCTTCCGTCACAGTTATTGACGCCTCTGACGACATTGGAACGGTCACTGACATCCTGGCGCGTCGCATTGAAGAGTTTGAGCTGAGGACCCAGCTCGAATCGCAACCTCACTGGATGTCCCTGTTTGCAGAAGATCCCCTGAGAACGCCCCTCAACCGTCAGCGTCTTCCGCCCCACTCGCCCAGCCCTCGCCTGCACAGCCGCCAGCCCCGCAGCCCACCCTGCCACCGCACACCCGGCCTTCTGTCCTCCAACGCCAGTCTGACCTCAGACGGCGACAGTCCCGCCAGCGCCAGCCCCTGCTTCCGCCAGGCACGGTCCCCCAACACCTCTTCCTCTTCCGCTCACTTCCGCCCACGCACCCTCTCCCTGGACGCCAAGCTCTCCACTCTGCGCTTCCGGTGCGCCTGCCAGCCCCCCACCGCCGGCTCCGTGTCTCCTCGCCCCGCTCAGACTGCCCTGTCCTGCTCCAGTTCCACTTCCAGCAGCAGCTCCAGTGAGGGCAGCAACAGTCAGGAGTCAGACCTGGGCTTCTCTAGACCGTCCAGCGCTCGCCGCAGCCTGAGGAACCTGAGAGCCAAGCTAGACCCCAGGAACTGGCTTCAGAGTCAGGTGTAGCTGTCACACTTCCTCTGGTTACTATCAGAGCCATTGTAAATTCCTGTGTCCCCCTGGAAAAAAAACTGGAATACCTGAGGTCATGTTTGCTCAACATCTTTCATTTAACGCTTTTTACATCAACTGGGAGAGACAACATGCAACATTAACTACTTCTGCCTTTTAAAGGAGCTTCTACAATGGGAACTGAATATATAATACACCATGATATATATATAGAGTATAGCATTACACATTGTCTCTTCATGAAATGGCCATTATTTTGGATCTTTGGAGAAAGTGAGAGAGATTCCTGATGCAGTGGTTTTAGACTGGACTGAAGCAGTTGCCTTGGTGTTGCGAGATCTAAATGTTTTACTTTTTGACCAGCTATTGTTTCAGTGCATCGTTTTAGATATATGATTTAGAAGGTGCTTTAGGCTCAACACTGTCTTAAGTATTCATCATCACAAATATTAAAGGCTGGCCATACACTACCATTCAAAAGTTGGGGGGTCATGTGATATTTTTCTATTGTTAATTTTTTGAAAGAAGTCTCTTATAATCACCAAGCCCACATTTATTTGATCAAAAATATTTATCAGAAAATTAAATTAGTTAATCTAAAATGTATACATTTTGAAGCCTATATAAAGTTCTTAAAAAACACAAAAAGACACAATAAAGTTTAAAAAAACACAAGCAGGTAGTAACTGTGTGCTCTATGTCATAGATCAAAACGTGAAAATATTTAGAGGCTTTGTTCACCACAGACCTTATTTCAGGCGATTTAGCAAAAACACATTCAAAAATCCCATAGGCTTTAGAGCGAGGGAACCCGGAGTGCTAAAATGCTAACTCACTTCCGCGTTTTGGCCTACAGAGTGACGTCGTAACTTCGGCACTCTATTCCTGTGATGGTTAGCTGAATTTTCAGCATCATTACACCAGTCTTTGGTGCCACACAATCCTTCAGAAATCATTCTGAAATTATGATTTGCTGCTCAAGTTGTGCTGCTTATTATTTTTGTGGAACAGCATTTATTTGAAATATATATATTTCAAAAGATATCTTACTGACCCCAAACTAGATTTGTTGTGTATTTTCAGGATCAATGAGTTTCATGGAAACACAGCATTAATTAATCTACCATGTGAAAGTTAGCTTAAAGGAGAGTTCACCTGAAAATGAAAATTCTGTCATCATTTCCACCCTCATGTCATTCCAAACCTGTACCTTGTTTTCTCAGTGGAACATATTTTGATATTTTGAGAAATGTCTCGTTGTTTTCTTCCAAAACGTCAATGGTCACTAACATTCTTCAAAATATGTTATTTTGTGTTCTACATAAGAAAGTCATACAGGTAAATGAAATAAATGCATGTGAGTCAATGACAGAATTGTAATTTTTGGGTGAACTATCCTTTTATCACTGATGGATTTCACGTTATTAACAAGTGAAACTGCATCTTAAGATCACCAACCTGCAAGTTTCCAATAATTGACTTTCTTTCAAGGTGCACTCGAGTCATTTTTGTTGATGTTGTGCTAAATAGTCGATTTGGACATACAGTATACTGAAGTAAACAATGAGTCCACACACCAGAAAATGTTTCAAAGCTATTTTAATAGTTGCTCACCATGTGTAACGTTTTGGGCCCAAGCCCTTCATCAGACCATCAGTGTTTACTTCGGCAACTTCCTGTCTGCCCACCACCCAGTTTTATTGTTTTGGATGTTCATGCTTCACCTTTTGAACTCTGACATACAGTATACTGACATCTTGTGGTGTGGATGCAGCATCAAAAATCAGTATTTTTCATTTGCAGAAATGCTAAGGGTCAGCTATGAGTAATCTCTTCTTTGGCAAAACTGTCTAATAACAGGAGAGTTAAAGTAAGCACGGTAATATTGCTGGTCATGTGATCTTAACATGGCCGCCACCATAAAGTGACCCGCTACATATAAATTAAAATTATAATGAGTGTATGTGATTTGATGCAAATTTTTCAACCGTTTCACCTGAGGAAAAAATTGAGTGAATCTTTAACAAACAATACGTGTATAAATATCTGCTACTCTGTTTGTTACAGTTCATTAACTTTTTCTTTGCATGACTTCAGTATATATATGCAAGGTCCAGACGTCTGTAAGGTTTATAATAATGGGATATATAATGTGACTCTGTTTACTACCTGTGACTGTGATGACCTCAGGATTACTGTACATAACTTATCATGCTCTGCAAATGTGAACCCCCACAAGTCAGAAAAAAGTTTTTTTTTTTTTTAATCAGAATACACATTAACCAGTATTCAGCACAAGCTATGAAATATGACTGACGTTTTGGTGCTTTGTTTTGAGCCATTGCAGAAACGGCCTGTCTTATTGAGAAGGGTTGCAAAGGCACTACTATGCAAAGCTACAACAGCTCAAAGATAATTGTTTATTGTAGGTTTTGTTAACATAAGCGGTACATGCATTATTTTAAGATTTCCTTTTTTGGCTTGCAGGTCAGTTCTGTCCAGCACTTAACGTACTTCTAACTGCTGAATTTGAGTGTTTCGGTGTCATAGCGCATCTCCCAGATCAGATGAACTGTGTATTTGCTTGAAGCCTATTATATTAGCAATATTTACAATAATGCAAGTCTAGTTGGATAACTGTTATTGTGATTTCAGTAAAGCCTCAGGAGGGAAGTTACAGTCTATCTTGCCATAAAAATATTAATACAGGTTAATAAACATGTCTGTATTGCAGACAGCATCTACTCAAAATATTAAGTATCCAAACCTGTATTATATTTTGATCTTTCATTTGAGATGAAGATAGAGCTGATAATCTGATGTAACATGTTTTCTTTATAATGATTACATGTATAGTGTTTTACAAATTTCATAAAGTTGGAAGTGTAGAAATAGCAGACTAACTTTTCCTCTTAAATTCAGAAGTAGTAGAGAAAAGTTGTTCTGGCAACTATGATGCTACAACATTAACAGTTCTCCATCAGTCAAAGGGCCACTGGCATGTATTTAAAAACTGTAAATTCATTCAAACAATAATTGTTATTGTAAATTTTTGTAATTTTCATTTTGTGCTTTTATTAAAGTTGTGTTTTACCATATTAATTTTTGTTATAAATAAAAATATATTGACGTTCTATCAGGCGAGTGAAGCTCTAAGTATCCTTGTAGAGAACATTGAATGTCATTTCAGCAGGTTGTATGCATGTCTCGGGACAAATGAGTAATAGATTGATGTACAAAAACAATTTATTGTAAAAAAAAAAAAAGAGAGAGAGAGAAAAAGAAAAAAAGAATGACTTAAATTAAAGGACACCAGCCGTTTTGTGTGCGTGTATGTGTAATTTTCTTTAATTCATGCAGTGATGATTTGAAGTAGACTAAATGTTCAAGAGAGTAAACTCATTACGACCCAGTAAAATGAATCCCTTTAATTTGATCTCATGCATTACATGGTGAATATGGTTGCTTGCTGATTATGATACTCAGTGTACTCACGGCCGCATTAAAGGGTTAGTTCACCCAAAAATGAAAATTAAGTCATTAATTACTCACCCCCATGCTGTACCAACCCCGTAAGACCTTCGTTCGTCTTCGGAACACAAATGAAGATATTTTTGATTAAATTTGAGAGCTGTATAACTACCACATTGGCTCCTAAGGGACTGCCTCTTGACGGCCCAGAAAGTCAATGAAGACAATGTTTAAATATCCCAAGTGACTACCGTGGCTCAACTATATGTTTATCAAGCGACGCGAATACTTTTTGTGCGAAAAAACAAACAAAAATAACGAGTTTATTCGACTATTTCTTTTCTTCCTTGTAGGCCAGAACGAGACTTCCTTATAGATTTCCACGACGCATGCGCGAGATTTGCGATCTGCGTACAACAGCTTACACTACTTCAGATTGCAATTCTCGCGCATGCGTCGTGGAAATCTATAAGGAAGTCTCGTTCTGGCCTACAAGGAAGAAAAGAAATAGTCGAATAAACTCGTTATTTTTGTTTGTTTTTTCGCACAAAAAGTATTCGCGTCGCTTGATAAACATATAGTTGAGCCACGGTAGTCACTTGGGATATTTAAACATTTTCTTCATTGACTTTCTGGGCCGTCAAGAGGCAGTCCCTTAGGAGCCAATGTGGTAGTTATACAGCTCTCAAATTTAATCAAAAATATCTTCATTTGTGTTCCGAAGACGAACGAAGGTCTTACGGGGTTGGTACAGCATGGGGGTGAGTAATTAATGACTTAATTTTCATTTTTGGGTGAACTAACCCTTTAACCATAGGGCTAGGCGGGGCTAAATCAAGGAGGGGCCCCGTGATTGGCTGTGGAGCAGATACTGCAAGGCAAGCCATCTGATTACCAAAGCCTTACCACGCAACGTCCCCCACAAATTAGCTCTGTTATTTAGTGGCACTGGCACTTTCCCTTGAAATATTCCATGCATTATCATGGAATCATTATCATTAATAGAAACGTTCGCAAAGACCCGCCTTTTTTAGTATGTGACGAGCCACGAGCCAGGCGGGTCTCACGAGTCACGCATATCATGTTCTCATGCACTCATGCAGTGAAAAATACATCGCGGGGCAAAGACTAACGTTACACTGAGTGATTACGAGAGAGAGTTCAGAGCAGCTACTGATGATATGAAACAAAGTCTCAACTTTCAAATATTGTCATTTAAGTAATTTAAACAATACCGTTTTCAAGTTCATATCCACCGACGTTACCGACAGCTTTGTTGTCGGACAAAGTTGCTTATTCGGCGTTATGATTGGCCAGGCCACCTGTCAATCAAACCCCCGTGGGCAGCAGGGCAAAATGGGCTATATGCACGCATAAGTTCCGCATTTGACGTAAGGATGCTCGTCCATTTCCGGTTGTGTAGATTAAACCGGAGGAAAACCGGAGAAAACGGGATTATAGCAGAGTCTTTAATATTACTGTCCTCCCGTCTTTGAAACGAAACGTACATACGTTTAGATGTAATTTTATATATAGTTATGTTTATTTAATATAATTTTAAAAAGAAGCATAAACACAACGAGGGGTGTCTGTTTTATCTGTTTTTGTGACTAACGTTTCATTAGTATAACCATGGAGTATAAAATTCAATATAAATTATCGGTATTGCATTGGACTCTACGATCGGCGGAAGTTATCGAGCATCCCTAATGCTTCACCGGAAATAACGCCGTGCATAGAGCCCATAGAAACGTCAGGTTTTAATTTGATATGACAAATACATTTATTCTATATTTAACTTGTGAACGATCGACCTGCTGCTGCAAGTAGGCCTATATAGGAGGGTAGGAAGGGGGGTTCACCTGCACCCGAAAGATATATTTTTTTAACCTAGTTTTTTGTAATCCTTAAGGTGTCTAGAAAAGGAATTTTGATGTTCCCCGCGCAAATTTTTGTCCCATATGTGATTTTTTGTATCATCTTTTGTGTCCGTGCTTGATTT